TTTGTGATATAATCAGGCTTATGCTGAATTTCTTAACTTCCTTTCACTAACAAAGTCTAATTAATTGAGGAGGGAGGAGGCGGGCTTAAGAATAAAGATCTATTTTCTTTCAGAATTATTTATTTTGTGAGAAAGCATTAGTTCAGCTAATTCATTACTTTGAAATAGCCTATTATGTAAAAATCAATCAGATCTGTCTTTGATTTTATCCTACATAAAGGTGACCTTTAAATATATCCACATGTTCACAGCATGCTAAAAGAAAGGACAGTAGTATGATTTTATCAATTTCTTAGCTCATTTTGGCCCCTAAGTCTAATCTCATGTAATGGGCACAAATAAAATTCTACTGATCAGCAGTTTGTTTGCTAGGAACATGTGTTTAATAAAATGCATGTGTAAATCAGTAGGAGGCTCTTTTTTTAAAACCAAGAGTAAAAAATTTTTAAATCAGCTTATTGTGGACTTGGACAACTCTTATCACAATCCATCCATCCATCCATTGTGTCTAGCACAATTGTAAATTTTTTTGCATCATTTTCAAAACATTTTCTTTCTACTTGAGCCCTTGGAAGAATAAAATTAGTGAGAGAAAAATAATAAAATACTTGAAATGACATGATCTTCCTGCTTATTCCCATCTCTTACTTAATTCTGTCAAATACTGCCTGAGAATCCATACAGACTCGCGTACCTAATGTGACTGACATTTCTTTGGCCTGTTCAGAACTATGCTTTCAGGAATTTTGACCATCTACCATGTCCACGTGCTCATACATGCTCCAGTATAAGGAAGTGTGAACAGGCTCCCCTTGAGCACTGCTTCCTACAAGACTCGTTGCTAGAACACATCCACATAGAGATCCATCACCTCTCATCTTCAATGGCAAAATCTTAAGTTCTCTGAAAAGGGAAAGGCTTTTTGAAACATATTTGGTGGCAAAAATCAAGACTGAACTGATGTGCTACTGTGGATAGTCTTTATCTTTTTCTCGTTTTTGTGTTAATTTTCATTCGTCTTGCTGCAGAAAGTATTGATGTGTTTGTGCAGGGGTGGTGAGTTCTTTAACTTGGCTCTTCTAGCCAAAGTCTGGGTGTCTGGGTAAGAAGATGGGGAGGATACTGACAGGATTCACCTGTGAGTAATTGTGAACAGGGTTCACTGGCATGCCACCCTGCTGAATATAAAGTAAACCCTCTGAGAAGCAGGAGAGGGACATGTCTCTACCAGGAAGAGCCAGAAGTGGAGTGTATTCTCAGGCCCCCAGATCCCTGTTCAGTGAACCTGGGTCCAGAAGACAGCTATCACACCAGAGGAGCAGCAGTAGGACCAATAGCCAGCACATGGAACAGAGTGATGGACTTCCCGGGCCACAAAGCAAGTAAAGCCGAACGCATGGGGGCACTCACTTCAGTGGGGAAGCTGGCTGACCCATGGAGCTGAGTGCCTTCAGGCTGAGGCTTATCCAGTGGGGTGCCTCAGGGCACTTATTGCCTTCAGCTTGCAGTCCAGAGGCATGCCCTTTGGGCATTTGTTAGCAGCCCTGAAAGAACTTTGTAACATATCCTGATGAACAACTATGTACTGAGTGAAATAGTTTATTGTGCCAGCCTGGCCGATAAACACAAGTGGGATTAACTGAAGGGGAGAGAGATAAATGCCTTGGTGAGTCTCGCCTTTCTTGTCTCTCACTCTTTGATCATCGGACCAGTGTGCGGCTGCCTTGCTTGTCCTGTGCCTCAATTTAAAGGCTACACTACCTGTGGGACCCCTAGCCTGTGGACTGTGTC